CCCCCCCCCCCCTCCTCTCTCTCTATCTTTCTCTCGGCATAGCCGGCATCAAGAATGCAGTTCTGGATCGGAGTAAATTCTCACTTACCATGAGCATGGGCGCACAGGTACGTATTTTAAATAGTAACTGTCGCAGCTCACTCTCCTTGTCAAAAATCTGCAGCTGATGATTGCTTTTGAGCGAGCACAGCCTACAGAGTTCTGCGAAATCGAGATCCTCGATCATTGCCATTGTCACCTACTCGCCTCACGCGATGTAGAATGCAAGAGAGACACGCACGCACGGCACGCACACGATCGCCGGAAGATTAGGTTATGCCGCGCTGGCCGCACGAATTTATCAGAACGATGGACGTGACAATTCGATGCAATATAATGCGAGTGTGTATGTATTCTAAGTATCGCGAGCGTGAGCTTCGTGGAATCTAATTTCTAGGAAAAGCTATAGAAACCGATCAAGTTGAACGTGATCAATTCTGCTTCACTCTTGTCGCTACTTGTCAGACACAGTATTGTGCAGCAGTGTTATGTAGGGAGGCCATGATGCAAGCAGCGTTGCCAATCTTTTGCTACATCTTCAATCCACAGGGTATCGATCATGAAACTTTTTCCCTAGGAAGGAAAGTAAAGTGAAAACTTTTACCATTGAAGTTAATGGAAAAATTTTAGATTGAATTTGAAATCTTCCCCAAATTACTTGAATCTTCATTTTCGTAAAAGTAAAAAAAAAAGATAAACAACAATAACTATATCTTATTTGAAAATAAAAATTTTAATAACACTAAACAGATCGTTTCATATATTTCAATATTTCATATAAATTTTATTCAAAAAAATTTTCTTTATTAAGTAGTTTAATAATTCATAAACACTGTAATAATTAATTATTCAGCAAATTCAATTGTTATAGAGCGGATCTGTAAACGCTCGCTGCTCTGTTGGATGATCTAAGATCACTAATAATCTGTTGGAAGTTTTCTTTGCACTGAATGGGTTATACTTTTAGATCCTAGAGAAATAATCCTTATCTTAGGAAAAAAAAATCATAAAACGGTTGTGTTCTGCTGAACGCAGTTAATTTCGTATTGTCCAATAGGTGGTTTGATAGAGTGTGTAACGTCAACCAATAGCAAAGCATTTTTTAATCAGACTGATGCAAAACCCTAGAAAAACCTTAAAGAAGAGAGTGGCAAAAGTCACGTGAATGCACCCATTGGTGCATGCGTCCAATTAGAAAGCAGGTCACGTAATCCATTTTCTTCTATCTCTTGCATGTTTATGGAGCTTCCTTGAACCAATCAGAGGAGACTGGTCAAACGACCAGTTCATGGCGCGGAATTGGCGCATTGCGGAATTGACGGAACGCTCGCGATTGGTGGTAGCTTCATTCCGCTGATTCCATTCCGTTAAAGTGTATTTCCCTATGTCCCATGAAGCGGAATTTGCGGAATGCGCAATTAACGCTGACCAATCGCAAGAAGCCTCCCATAAATCACTTTCATTAAATTGGCATTTCATTGGCTTGCATTGATTGCGTATCTGTAAGTTCCGCTCCATTGGACATAGGAAATTAAACGCCTGCGGATCGGTGTATGTGTGTATGTATGTGTGTAAAAAAATGTTTAACTTAAATTTATATATTCTAATATATGTATGAACAGAGAGAGAAATACAAACGAATTAAATTAATTTAGTAAAATGAACAAACATTTTCCTAATGCCCATTTCTGCCAATGCAGATTAATTTTAATCTTAGTTCAAATTTGCTCTTCATCTTTTTCTAATTCTAAAAATTAGAAAAAGATTAATAGTAAGTTAAACCGAGATTAAAGTTAATCTGCATTGGTGGAAATGGGCATTAGAGTTATGATATAACTTCGTATACATATGTATTATATATAACATAATACGATTGAATTTTATTGTGCTATTCTGCGATATCAATCGTGAACAGTGTTTTATATAATGCCTACAGAATATATACTATCTAATTATATAACAATACATTATAACAATAAATAAAAATTGAAATAATTAAGTTTAAGAAAGATATTAAAAATGTAAAAAACTCGTCAAGTATTCATTATTTCTAATTGTGATTTTTATAAATTATTATAAATTATTATTATTCTACATAGAAATTTAACATATTTGAAAATATTATCATATGTTAAAATCTGTCAAAGACAGATTAAGTATTCTTATTATTATTATTTCCTTATCAATAATATGTTATTATATTTACGAGCTTGTCAAAAATGCTGTGATTAATGTATCTAATCTAATTAATAAGATAGCGCAATCGAGTATCTCAGAAATAAATAATATTTGCCAATTATATACAATTATTTTTGTTAACTCTTCCTTTATGTCCTTCATTTACATAATACTATTAATTATACGTATATAATTACATGATCTTTTAGTATAACTGTTATACATTAGAAATACTCAATATCTATAATATATAATAATTAAATAGCTTAAACGGTATAGAACGTAAATAATTTTATAACTGTACGAATCGCAAATAAAATTACTTTATTTTTTCCGAGCTGCATTTTCTGCATGCCAATTCTTCTGATTTATCGCATCACACGCATTAATTGAATCCGAACAAGAAACTCTGCTTAATTAGATGTGATCATACACGCAATGACAAGAATGCTGATAATAGATTATAAAAGAATATATCCTAATATAAATATCAATCAGTATAAGCATATATTTATGTTCGCGAATATTAGCGAATATTGTTTTTTTCCATTAGTATATGTATTAATAAAGTACGATCTTGAAATTGAAGGATATAAGTTAGAATATTGAGAATGATAGATCCATAATTCGTGATAATTATATTTAATGTATGGAAATTGTACTTAAACAGATCCTATTAGTCATAAAAATTTTTTCTCTTCTCGTACTAGAATATTTAAGTCATCGCTTTATCTCATCTTTAATGTAAACAGCTGTCAGTAAGTGCATAATAGTACAGGAAATTAAGAACAGACGTAAATAAAACAGTAAATTCAGTAAAATATATTATTAATTACAATATAATACTTCATTATATCTACATAATATTGAGATCCACGAGTCAAATACAAACGCAAATAACGAGAACATACAAAAACGTATTTTGCGCTAATTAGTTGTTTCATTAAAACCTCGTTGCGTTTCTTGTCGACACTGGAATTCCAATTGTATAAGAAATTGAAGTAAAACATTAAATAAAATACTAAAATTTATCATTATCTTATTTATGTATGTTGATTATATCTTGCACTGAGATCCATGAACCAAATGCTAACGCTAATAACGAGAATATAACTAGCACAGAGTTTTTCCATAACCGCCAGTTGAAAGTACCCAAATGGCTTTCCCAACACGAAATCGTTTCGACGACAGCTGGGATACTGATGCCGAGAATAGAAAAGAATATTGCACCGACTAGAGAAATGAACGGGTCCAAATCAGGCACTAACAGCGCGAAGACCACTGTAAAAAAGAAATCATAATTATTCACAAACATATTAATCAATGTTTTTGACTGAATTGAAGCTTACATTTATATTAAATGTGCATGTAAAATACCTTTTAGTACACACGATTAGGCCATGCATTCGTATCGTAAAGTACTTCACTTGATTATTATTATTATTTAATGATCAATAATCCTTATTCTTTCTGTTTTTTAATTCATAAACTTACAAATGACTTCTAAAGATATTAAAGTATATGTAAGACTTTTAATAATTTTTATATACTTTATAATAATAATAGCTTATAATTAAATGCAATAGTTTACAGTTAATCGAAAGCAGTACATATATAGTACACGACAAAATAGGCGCGTTTGCAGCTAAGAACTAATTTAATTAATCTGAATAAATATAAATAAAATAATAAAGTAGTATTTTTATATCTTATATGTTTTAAAAGATTTAGGTTTATCAGCTAATGTCTTTTCCGTTCTTTTGAATGGATATATCTATAATTGTTCTATTTTGCCTATATTTCGTGAAAAGAGCCAAAGCAACTGCCCTCATTTTTCTTTCAGATGCTATACTAGTTTTTTATTTTAATTATTAAAAAATGTGTCATTAACCGCATAATATTCTTATTATACTTTACACAAATGTCGAATGAAGAAAAAGGAAACATAAGTTGCAAACGAGTAACACATTTTTCACGGTACTTAGATATTCGTGACACTGTATTTACGTGCTTACAATTATTCAACGCAGGAATTCGTTGCACCTAAACTAGCAGTAACACATTACATCAATGTTACAATTTCCTACTCAACAATGTAACTGTTATATACAACATGTGTCATATATATTACATTCATTGTTAAGTGGCAAATTACAGTATTGATGTATGTACTGTTATATACTGTTTAGTTAATATTTAAAGGGAAGCGTGTAATGAGTGAAAAAAATCTATCGTAACAATAAGAAATTGAATCGGACACGAAGTCCAAAGTGGGCCGAATCTATTGCATCGAATGAAGGAACTGATCCGAGCCGAATAAAGCAGACGATTCCTTTCTTTCTCGGTACACTTGGTAATAAAAAGGCACGTCACGCGTACACGCACGCGAAGTAAGTGGGTGACACCGATCATTCAATCGGTTCACCGATTGGGTCTGCAACTCGACCTCCTCTCTACCGAGAATGCGTGATTCATCACGGTTTCTCCATCTCGCAATCGCTAGAATGTCGCGGCAAAAACGCAACCGGAAAAGGTTACGAGAAAGCGGTATTAACTTTTGGAGACCTATTGAAAAACACGCCATCTCTTTAAGTATTTCTCATAACTATTTAATTATTACGCTATGAACTCGTTATTTACAATCCTGATAGATTAGACGTTATCTCTGATCTCACGTAACATAAATCTCGGTAAAGAGTGGTATTCATAGTCGAATCTTATATTTATAACCATTTTAAATACAGTCAGATTAACATCTTAAGACATTATTACTTAAGATAATTGAAATAAGAACGGGCTATAAATACCGCCCAAAAATATGAAAAATGTTTGTCTACGATATTACAGTTATATCACACATTTCAGTTTAAAGGAGAAATTCTAAGGTATTCAGAATCAGACACTTTTAAAACTTATGCAGTTATCATTTTGAAAATCCATACATTCATAAAAGAAAGTTTATTTATCCAGGAAAGTTTGAGAAACCGTCTAAAAATAACTAAATAGATTGTTTGAACGCTCTACAGAAAAATTTTTTTAATAAACGATAGATTTCAGAACTAATGAAGTATTTATATTTAATATATGTGTTCGATCACATTAGATAACAATACACTAACAATACACTACCAAGGAAATCCAAAAATATATAAGATTAATTTTGATATTTAATTATATACAGGAACTAAAGCAGTTTATTATACGTAAAAAAATTCATATCATCCAATTAGAAAAAAGTGGAGATAACCTTCACGTAATCTTAAAAAATTCAACTTTTTTTGAAAATTAATTTTTCCATTATTTGTTCCCTTTCAAGTAATACAAATTTTGTCTCAAACATTTTTGCTTTTTGATATATTTCGACGTTTTGTTTTCGGTAGAACTTCCTGTATATTTATGGATCTCTGTGGTAGTGTATTCTTATATTTAATAATACAACATATGTCAAATGTAAACACACCATTAGTCTCGAAATCTATCGTTCATTAGAAACAAAATAAGGTTTTTTGCAAAGCGTTTAAACAAGTTATTTTATTATTTTTTGAAAAGTTTTCGAAGCTTTCCTGAGTAAATAAATTTGTTTTTCATGAACGTGTGGACTTTCAAGACGACAACTGCATAGGTTTTAGAAGTGTCTGTTCACGGCCAAAATTAGCCATTTTTAGACTCCCTCCTTTGAAGGTCTATAATTTATGTCTCTCAAAGAATTAAGATCCTAATAAAAAAGAAAACAAAAAGAGAGGGAAAATTTATTGCGTGAGAAAAGAAGTTCTATAAAATGAATCTAGTATAAAAATGTATAATTACTTCTAATTATTTTTAGAAACTATATTTCTCTATAAAAATCCATTTATGTATATGAAAAAAGGCACGAGTCGCCAAATGATGTAGACGATTTGTGAATCATTCGCTTATAAAAGCAACAGTCGCTTTCCTGTGCCGAAACTATATTTCTATTCACTGTTATCCTTTCCAATCAGGTAAAAAACCACTATGTCTGCGACGACCGGTTTTTCGCGTTTAATAACACTTCGCATAGCTGAAATATTTTAAATCCATATTCTTAATATTGTATTAGCATTTTTTTGTTCGATTTACATTTTAATCATTTGTTTACAGCTTCGATTGAATTTGTTTCTATTTATAATTAATCTGTTCACAGATTTAATCACAGTAGCAGCTAGTTAACATCTTCTCATTCGAATGATTTAACATTTTACCTGTTAGCATAACAATGCATATTCTCATCACCGTCTCGCCCAAGGCCAAAAATTTATGGTTAAACAAGTGTTTTATGGAATTCCACATGATCTCGAGCGGCACGAAGAGTTGCAGACCGTAAGTAAAGAGAACAGCTGCAGCAATGAGGGCCTTTACCACTTGGGCCGGACTAAAACATTACCACTCATCAGTTTACAATGCAATCAAAATGACATATTAACATAAAAGAGATGTCAACTCACATTTCCGAATTTGGCAGACTCAACGTGATGCTGGGTTCTACTTCGTCGCCGTACGCAAGGTAACCAAACACTCCCATCATAGCGTATAGACTTACGACTATCGTCATCGTGATGTTAAGTACGCTAGGACATCCGAGGAAATGATGTGGATATTTCATGTTGTTCGCCACGGGCATCACCTGCAATCACAATGATACCAGGAAGCGCTCGAGAAAGACAGAAAAGAGACCGTGCAATTATTTTTTAAATCATTCGCTTACTAAAAGTAACAGTTGCTTTCCTGCATCGAACTAGTTCTATTCTCAGCTGTTACCTTTTCGATCAAATAAAAAACCGCCTACTCCTGCGACCACCAGTTATTCGCGTTTAATGTCTCTCCTTCTGGATTTCCGATCTTATAAAGAAAGGCCAAGGTACTACGATTTAATTCGCGTTTAATAACACTATGGCAATTGGTAATAGAAACTTACAACGCCGATACCTTCGATGGCGAATATCACAGTTGCGAAGAAACGGGGTAGTTGGTCCACCGAGGCAAACAGCTTGTTGTTATTAAGTGAATGCAGGTTGCTATTACTGAAGATGTAGTAGAGCGTGATCGCAAAGCCGGTTATCATGAAGATGTTCGCCAGTGCCGAGAATGGCACCATGTATTTTAAATCGCGTACCTGCCCGAGCAGTATCAATGCCGGGATCAACGAGTAAATGAACATTTCAATACCTATGAACTTCCCGCTGTTAGAATTTACGATCTGAAAAAAAAACGAGACACACAACTGTGACAGAAAATCGATTTAGTCTTTGTGATTTGTAAAAGGGCGATGTCACTTTTTTGGTATTTTTTCGCAAGTAGAAATCTTCAACTTGTTAAGGTTTTATATAATACACATTTATACATCTAGATTTCCAATTAAATTTTTTAAATCCTTAAGAAATTTTGTAGACGTATTTCTTTTAATTTCGTGACTCAGATTTGTGTAAAAAAAAAAGTCAGAGTTATCTCTATTTCTATTCTATCATTTAGATTCTTTCAATTAAATTTAATTGTATTTCACAATATATGTAACTTCTCAGTTATAATTTGAGTAATTCTTAGAATTACAATTATATAAATCGCGAGCATCAATAAATTAACGTACGTATAAAATAGATAATAATTTTAAAATGTATATGTGATACATAATCAGTAATTATGTACAAATAGCAAAAAAACTTTATAGTATTTATGATAAGAATTATTGATGGAAACACTGCAATCTAAGATATCTTGCAATAATAAACTGCAATAATTATCAATTATTATCATTAAATTATCAAATATAATTTTTTGTTATTGCTTCACAAACAATAATACAAATTAAATTAAGTTATCTGCTGATTAAAGAATGTAATAATCATCGTGTAAGTACGGAAAAATATTTGTTCTCGAAATCATAAAAATTGCGGAGCCTCAGTCAGTTTATCTCAAATTAGTTTCGAATCGTATACTATAAATTTGTATCACTTACAAAACTCTAATACTGACCAATCTACTTAACTCTTTACTGAAAAAAAAAAAATAATTACTTATTTTTTAAAGTAAAAAAACTGAACAGCTTTTAATATTATTATATTTTTTTAAAATAAATAACGAATTACTATTTTTCAGTATTAGATTTTTGTAAAGGACGTATAATACTTTTTAATCTCTATTATAGTTTGAATGCCAGTTCTGTCCCTTACAAAATAACGATCTAATCAACTCGTTAACATATCTCGCAAACAATTTCGTATGCCTAATATTTATGGCAAATGATAAGAAAGGATTAACATAATAAATACGATAAGTGGTATAATTATTATATAAAATAATTTCGTACTCATTAAACTTACATTAAATTGCTATAATTGTAATTGCGCTAAACTTAGGCTACAACTTACTAGTTGTAACAGAGGCGAAAATGAATTAATTCGCTAGTCGTGCCGAGCACTTCTTAACATACATGTGATACATAAACGATCTTACTGTCATGAATTATGTAATATGCATACCTGTTGAAGAGACTTAGAAACAAATACGACATAAACACACGAGCCGCCTATGTATGTCGCGCACAGCGCCGTATTAACGAATATCTTGCTGTAGTTGGCCCACGGCCTGAGCGGTTTCGGTCCACAAAGAAAGGCCGCATACGCCGTTTCAGCATACGTCATTTGCGGCGTCTTAGTACGCCGGCAGAGTATATGAGACGTACGCACCAGTATGTGCACGCAGTGGGCGCAAATAAAACCGATTATAATTGTACCGATCCCGCCAAACACTAACCCGCCGTTATTTATCGCGTGCGGCATGGCCAGAATTCCCGTTCCTAGAGAAGATTTCAGAAGATGTGCCAAGGAGCCCAGATCTCTGAAACGCACAGCAGAATGTGTAGTTACGATATGTTTCTTTGCTATAAAATGTATAATATTATCACGGATATACATACATATATTATTATGCTTATGCACATCGTCGCGTTGATAGAAAAGTATAACAGAAGTAAAAAATTAGCATTAGAAATGCAGAATATTCCAATTTTTAAAACATTCACAGTTTTTTTTTTTAAATTAAAGGTGTAACATAGAAACAAGTGAAGTTATGCGCATATAATACATTCTATCCTAATTAAAACATTATTCCAATTTTCAGAATTTATAAAATGATCTATTAAAAAATTGCAATTATGAGATATGTGTTACTTTGCTATGACGCGGCAATACGTTAATGTGTACGTTCAAAATAAAATGCTGCAATATCTTTTGAACAGAATATATGAAAAATACATGTAAACTTAATTGATAGGTACCGACAAAAATTCTAGCATTTTAACGAAACTTACGAAGTTGTATGTTGTTTATCACGATGTTCGAATGGGTCGTACAGTTCATCCTTTTCTTTGTACTCGCCGATATTCGGAGCTATTTTCGTGCTGAAATGAAAATAACAAACTATTGTACAAAGTATTAAATTTCATTAGAACGAGATAACGGAAAAATGCAATACATATACACATGGAAATAAGAGCGCATTAAAAATAGTCTCTTATTCGTGAATGAAAGGGATGCTCTTTTTTCCTAATATTTTTTATATATTCAAATTTTGTTTTATTATTTTAAATAATATTAATCGTTAATATATTAAGAATTAATAATTATTTAAGAATGAATGTTTTCAATAATAAAATTATGCAGCTGCATTAACCTTCTCTTTATGTACAAATGTTTTAACGTTAACCGTGCACAGAGGTGTATCTAATTACATCGCCAATGCATTTTCAGTAGATACAAAATGTAAAGAAAAACTTTGGCTGCGTAAGTATTTGTAAAACTTTATATTAATTTTTAAGAAGATAAAAGTATCAAAAAATTACAAAATGTATTGTAATTTAAATTAAGTCTAGGATGTGTTTGCATCCCTATACACAGAGAGAGGGTTAAACAGTAATAGGATACAGCGGAGCTATAAGTTCTGTAAGTTTCCTTAAAGTAATACGAAAATGTACAACGGTAAACAATATCTTTTTGCAGTGACATATTATAATTATATTATATTATACAATCACGATTACTCCTTGAGAGCACAAACACGACATTTATAATAATAATCAACATGTGCTGTTCAAAAACATAAAATATTATTATGAAAAATGGACAAAAAAGCTCTACTCTATCCTATTTCTTGATAAAAAATATATATTATATTTATACAATAATATTTAAAATTTACATAAAACAATTCTTATCTTGTTGAAAATTAAGTCACATTGATTATTGTGAATTTTGTATATATTACATAATATATCAAATTTTAAATGCACTTTACCAGATATCGTACTGTACTTGTATATAATTTTGGACAAAACATTTTTAGTATTATAAGAATCTGAAGCAAAAATTTTGCAGTACCGTTTATCACGTGACCAGTCGAGTGATAAAATAACAAGAACTAAACTAATTTCGATCAAGAGTCATAAGGAAAAACATCAAGTTTATGCAATGCGTTTCCTATCTCCGCGTGAAACGCGATATAATCGCATTCCATGACGATTAATCTTGATCCGATGATTAGTTTTGCAGACACTGCGTATACAGAAGCCGCGTTATCTGCAATTGACGTTTATCGCTTAAGAATGACTCTGATCATTAAGAAAGCTTTTGCCGATCATTTAATTACATTGTTCGAAAAAAAAAATTATACGAATAAGATTAGATATTTCCTAGCTGTTTAAGATGATGAATGCAAATCTTAAATTTGCATTTATCTTATTTCTAAATTTATGTTACCATTCTGAAAAATGTACACCTAAAGTTGGAAAAGTGAGTTACTTTTATATATTTTGTGATGTTGTAACTATGATATGTGACATAAACTATTCTTTAGCACATGTTAGAGAATAAAACCTTTTTTTGCAAATTAAATTGCAAATTTCTCAAAATTATGATGTGACAAAGCAATTAAGAAAATGTATGATGAAAATTCAACATTTAAAAAGTATTATAGTTGTTCTAATATTCAAAAAGAATATTGGTCATTTTCTATCGAACAGCGTTATTTGCATTCTGTATTTGACAATGTTAAGTGTGAACAATATCAGCAAGATCCTTTGCAATGCGATTAGTGAATTACATTTTAATCAATATTTTTATATTTTGTCATTTGGTTTATCGTGCAAACAATATAGCATCGGATATTAATTGGCGGAAGTACCTGCTACTGAATTCTGTCATGGGATTGTCCAACTCTTTCTCCGCTCGACCCATGGCGATCCTGTAAAAATAACAATAGATAATGTATGAGATTTGTTGAGAGAAAAAAAAGGTACAGAAGAAACAGAAAATACGATTCTTAAATATATACTATATAATTCAATTTTAAATATTATGTCAATAACAAATAAATTATAACATAATCTAAAAATAAATTATTATATTATATATTAATATTAATTAATTACTATAAAATTGAATAAATTAATTTATTATATTCAATTTTTTTATATTTTTATATTATTTTTTGTTTGCTGGATAAAATTTCATGAATGTATAATGAACTGCGAAATTTTATTTCTTATTATAATAACATGAAATGTATTATTACAACATTAATATTTTTATCAGTTGCATCTTACAATTTTCATTAATAATTTAATGGTACATTGAAAAATCAGTAAATTTACAATTAAAAATAAAAAAAAACAGTTGCCGACGCATTGAGTAAGATAAGCGTTATCGTATGCTGTTTGAAAACGGAAGGCTTCCTCGTTGTCATATCACATTGTAAATATGAAACAATCAGCTAAACAAACACTGACTGACCGCGATTTTTTATACTAATGCTCAGTATAACAATCAGTGGAACTTTTAAAAGGAAAACATGTTGTGATTGCAATTTCTTTTACATTTAATTAATGATATTATTAATGACATATCGGCCAAAGCCCTTGCACTCACCTTGTTTGCGTAACGTATTGCGGAAAAAAGTTTAGACTAAGAGATAAAGCTGTATTATTAATATTCTTTGGTGAGAATTATTAAAAGCCAAGTCATGTTTCAGGTTAATCGACTGTGAGAATTAATTACTCTTTTTGTTCCTGACAATTGTATGAGTTATTACTAACAAATATTTTAATTGCAGATTCGCAAATTTCTATGAAATTATTTTTTAATGAGAGATTAATGTGCCGCCGCAATAAAATTTTGGATATACAATATACCTCTTTTAATTTGTCACTTAAAATTAAAATATCTAAGTAAGTATAGAAATGATCAATAAAAAGATCGAATATCAATTCTCTTTAATCATATGCAAGAATTTGACAAGGCATTAATAAGATTTGTGTAAAATTGGTTAAAAGTTTATCGATAAATCGCGATATGTAGTTCAAGGCTCAATTATTATCGATAATCAATTTTATCGGATTTAATTTATTGATTGTGAGATATGAAATATAAAAGAGAGTTGAGACTGACGAGAGTCTGAATTTGTATATGAAAAACGTAGTGGCAAAAAAAGAATGCGAGTTTCTAAAGACTTATCAACAAAAGTGGTCAGTTACGTAAAAAGAAAAAAAAACAAAAGTGATTTACAATTACGTAAAAAATACAGTTTTAACATGTATATACACAATACACATCTGACAAATGGACATCGTATGATGCTTCACCTTGACCAATTTTCTTAAAAGTTCCTCCGAAGTTTATTCGTCAATAAAAACCTAGCGTGCTGTTTCGACGATCGATGATGAAAATTCTTCATGGATTGCGACGGACAACGTGAGATTCACGTAGAAAATTAATGGAAGGTAAAAAGTCAAGAGTTGTGCAAGAAGCCCCCTGCGCTCAAGATTGCAATCAACTGATAGCGACCAGTTCTTAATTTGCTTTCGCCATTTTACATAAAAGTGGCAGGGAAATGACTATATTATGCGAACGAACGCACTCTTTGAATTAATGACTTCATTCGACGGTATCTAACGGATCTGAATGTATAACTATGGGTCCTCGGAAGATCCTTGATTGAAGCGAATACATGTAACGCATATATGAGGGATTTCAAAGTCGCGAAGGACTCGCGCAACTGAAACTATACATCTCATAAATATTCCACGAAGAGCAAAGAATAATGTTAAGAAGATACGCAAGGACGATCTGTGATTGCAATTTGCGGAGGTAGAAATTAACTTTGAAAAAATTATTAATTAACGAAAAGTTTACTACTATAATCACAATAATGATTATGATCTATGTGTATAAGTAGATATAATTAATTGTATGTTTATAATATATTTATTATAAAATTTTTATATTGATTTTTTAAAATTATAGAATAATTTACTGTAGAGTGTAATTAAATTAAATTAAAGAAATTAAACCGTATAAATAATTTTATTAGAGTCTAAATTGATTAAAAAATGTTAGTTTTTTTTATAATACATATACTTAGAACACTAATTAACAATATCGAAATAAATGGAAGAAAGCATTTCTCTTTACGTAGGCTTCTGAAAAAGTTTCTGCAAACGACATGAAAAAAAAAACATGTAAAATTCGGTAGAAATAAAGCCACTTACCGATTTTTACATATTCTTTTTTTCATATCATTTGCAAAAACTTGTCCAGCAGTCTACGTATACAGTATATTTGTAGTTTTATTTCTGCATTACATCGAAACATGATGTAGCAAATATCGTTGAAATATTTGTCATCTCGTTCTTTATAAGTTAATCAATAAATTAGTTCCAGCGAAACAAATCACTCAGAAATAATCTTAATAATCTAATAGATAAGCTTTATCAAGGATCGACTTAAGTAGACTCAGTGTTCTTATTTTTTTTTTTTGAAAAAATTTTATTAAAAAATTTTATTTAGAGATGTCCGCATGCAATTTTTTATTTTTAACCGTTATAACTTTCATATAATATAAGTGTTTATTGTAAAATTGTATTCTACGTTCAAGAATTGAATATTTAAAGAATAATTATCATTTTAAATACTCGCGCTTACAATAGATAATCGTTGTCATAATGAAAGTCATCCTATTATTACAGAACATACTATTTTAATTTTTTATAGCAAAATATTGAACAGTCTGATAGTTGAGACTTTCTAACTTTCACAAGTTAGAATTACTTATATTATAATTATTTACACATACAAAGAAATTGCTATTAATACAATATATTGTCGTGAAATGACTACGGCAGTGTCACGATATATTATACTTTACCACACTATAACCACTTGAAAAAATCTAACATGACTCACAAAGGCTCAGTCTTGCGTCTGATATGGACTTGACAAGGAAACGACTTGATATTCACAGTTAAATTTATTTAAAAAAAAACCAGACGGTGTGGGTGTGTGTGTGTGTGTGTGTGTGTGTGTGTATGGAGGGGAGGAGGACTCACGATAGACCCAAGCTTGCGTTTCACATGAAAATATGAAAATCAGCACGATCGCTTTGTTATTATTATTTCCTAGCTGAGTTAATATAAATACCAGTGTATAATTTTGCTCATTTGCATCTAATCTCCTTAGATATTAATAATATTAAACTGTCAGCAGAGATATAAAACTAAGAATGGTTACAGTAGAAGATGTAGCACTGGCAATGACTCAAACATTAACGTGTGATTAGCTCAGCATTAGTGTATTAGGTTACCGTTCTAGAGACCATAAGTTCAAATCTTACCGGCGATGCACTATTCAAAAATTAATTGTAGTTAATAAAATGGAAAAATAAGTATGCGAAACAGCTGCGAACACACATTAAATTGAAAAGATAAAAAGTGAATAACAAAGAATTTTGTTTTTTCATTGTTTTTATGTAAGAAAATTTTTATTGCATATAAAAAATACTTTTTCCATTTAAAGAAAGATTTTCATTTTAAAACAAAGTAAACTTTAATTCTTATAGAAAGTAACAACCAACAAATTTCTTCAAATCAAAGAAATCGAGTTGATGTCGATTTTATTTGTAGTCGATTATTTCTTAATGTCGATTTCATTTATAATGGATTATTTTTTAATGTGCCATGTATGCGCCAGGCCAATCGATAAATTGGTGCACTGTTTACATCATGTAAAAGTATCGTATTTTAAACGAATCTTTCAAATATTATTGTATTTTGGAAGATTTTACGTTCGAATGCTCTTCCATTAAGAAATAGTCGACATATAAATATTTGATAATATAAACACATATTTACAATGATGTTTAAAGGTACAAATATGTAAATATATTGCGTTTTATGCAAATCATTTTTATCGGATCGATCATTCATCGAATATTAATGCAACGAGTGCACGTTAAACTTTAAATTAATATTTTAAATCAATCTTTTATCAATCACACAACATAGATTATTATCACTTGAATCATTTAGTTTAAAGTTAAATCTATACTCCTTTTTATCCCTATCGTAATATGAACGTTTATTTATTAAAAGATTAATTGCACATAACTACTGCAAACCATTCCGTTTCTTAGTAAATGTTAGAAATATTTAACAATTGAAAAAAATTTAATGTGTATTTTACGTGTTGTAAAAATATGTAAATATATAAATTATAAAACCGATTAAAAATTACAAATACATAAATTGTATGTTCACACAAGATTCTTATCGTAAAATCATAAAACTAATTTTACAATAAAAATTTTTTATAAATTTTACAAATTGTATTTATGAAATAAATACACTAAAATTGTTTACAAAATATCTCTGGGATTTTACTTACAATGAGATTTTGCTTTACAATGCAATTCCAACTATGACGCAAAGTCGGTTATTAAAATTTCTCATAAAGACTTAATGAAGCAATCTCATTCTAAATGAATTTGCATATACATAAGTATTAAATCATCGAGAGAAACATTCATATCGTTTTTTTACACGCGTAAGTAAATTAATTATGTTTTAAATATTTAAAGAAGCGTATTTATTGTTTTTTTGCTTACTGTTCATACACGTTGATAATAATTAGAATTTATTTTTAGACACGCAGTAAAGATCATAGTTTATTTGTAGGTAGCAATATAGTACAATAGAGTACAAAAAATAATCTTAAGTAATTAAATATGAGGAAAACATATTTTGTGTCAAGCATTTTCAATAATTTTCCTTTGCAAAAAAACGACAAATATAATATAATGCAAAATCTGTTAATTAAATCGATGTCTACAAAATGCTAGCAAAAATGTAACAAAACTTGCCGCTTATAAAGTGAACACAGTAAACAGCAAATAGATTTCAAAAATCGAATAAGAATATGCACAGCATAATATGGCAAATTAGTTAGCAAATGTCGAGCAAAATTTGCTATTGAATAGCTCGATGCCATTTTTTCAATGTTGATTATTATTATATTATTAATTATATACTACAATTGTTACATTAAAAAATATATTAATTTAACAAATTTATTATAACATTTTTATAAAATTTGTATGTATATTATAAAAAATATCTTTATTCTTCTTCTTCTTACTTTCGTTGAAACTTATGAAAAAGCAGTAGATATGGACTATTTAAAAGCATTTAAAGGTATTTAAAGGTAATTCAAGGTTTTTAAAGCAATTTATATAATTATATAGGTCTACAACTTAATTCTCTCTTTTTAACCAAGTTTCGATGTAAAAAGGTAAAAGAATATCAACCTAATATTTAAAGTTATTCCCTTCACTTTTCATACATTTTCGCCATTTTTCAGGTAATTGTCGGATTCCTCTTAAAAAAAAAAAAAAAGATTTTGAGTCGACGAATTCTATGATACTTCTTTTGACTTCTTCGGGGGATTTGAATTGAGAATCAATCAGATGATGTTGAAGGGTCCGAAAAAGATGGTAATCCGTAGATGCCTAGGTCCGAAGAGTACGTGAATTTCCAAGCCCGAAATGATTTCTAAGCCCGGAGATGGTTTCTATCGTTGATTTTGCCATGTGTGTGCGGCTGCACTTCATCTTGCAGCAAAATTACTTACCTTTTTCCAGGGCCAGTAAATGATATTTTTACTTCAAGGACGTCACTTACTCGAATCAGTTGCTGTTGATAACGCTCAGCAGTGACCGTTTTTTCAGATTGGAGCAGCTCACAGTAAACATTGCCCTTCCGATCTGACCAAATACATAGCAATATCTTTTTGCTGTGAATGTTTGATTTTGCAGTGCTGGTTAATGATTGACATGAACCCAAGATTTTCGTCTTTTTGGATTATCCTACAGAATCCATTTTTCATCACAAGTCCATATTTTGATGCAGAAAGTTTTTTTTTGTGAAATTTTGACAACAGTCGTATTGTGGCGTCTCTTCTTATTTTCAGGCGTTAGCACATGTGGAATCCAACGATCTTCCTTTTCAATCCTACCAAGTTTCCACAAACGTTTCAAAATGGTTTGTTGGCTTACCGCAAGTGTATTCGCAAGCTCCGATTGCGTTTGACAAGGATTTTCGTATAAAAGCTATTTCAATTCTTCATCCTCCACTTTCTTTGGTTAGCCTGGTTGTTCTTCATCCTCCAAATTGAAATTGGCCGTCACGAAATCTTTGGAACCATGTTTTGCATGTACGACACAGAGTTTTCGTCTAAAGCCGAGGAAATAATTTCTTGAGCTTCCGCGGCATTTTTCTTCAGCGAATGCGAAAAGGAAGCAGTGTCTCAAATGATGTTTTTCGAACGACATAATTTTCACTACTATTTTTTTAAGTTAGATTTGCAACACTGATAGCTATTATACCCTATTTTAGAGTTTAAGGATGACGCTTCAAAATGATTGTATGGCGAGAAAAAGATTCAAATTTAAATAAGTTCTGTGGTCGATTGAATATAGAGGCTGAGAATTAAGTTGTAGACCTAATATTATATTGAGAAAAATGAAAAGTGTTGTTAGATATATATATATATGTAGTTATATATTGTTTGACTTAACAAATATTTGCTTAACAGCTCTTGATTGCTGCGTTTAGTTGAATCAACTAATATTTTTTTAAAAGAGCAATTTTTTTTCAGCGTGCGTTATAATAATCAATATATCATGTGAGTCTCATATTAAATTGAGTCAATATATAAATAACGTTAATATATAGTTATACACTACCTTAATTTTTAAAGGCAAAATAAAGGTTACTCGCGTTGATTAAAATTTATTATTATTTGATTTACTATTACTTAATAATATATAATTACTTGTCATAAATAATTGTAATTAAATAACGTTAATATCCTGTGGCACATTTGTGTCGTGTCTATATTTGGATGGTTCTTAAAAAATTACTTTCATTTTCATGATTTTGTAAAACCAGTTGCAGATATTTCAATGTCAGAATTACAGGTGGCAGAAGTATTTTGTTTTCTCTGATTGTAGATATACACTCTTTGCGTAAATAAGTCGTTTGTAAGTTAGCACTTTCGTCGACAATTTAAATAACAACCATCGGGCGACAATTTAAATAACAAAATTTTATATTTTCATAAATTTTCTCGAGTATGTACTTACGGTGTACATAACTTGTGGTATTAAAGTCATACTTACTCTTGTATATCGAGACGTGAATGAATGAAGATTTGTTGCTTGATTTACGAAGAACGTTTATTTCTTTCTCTGACGACGTTGCAGTATAGTGAATTCTCCGGATTCACATTATCACTCTGCTCGGATGAAATGTCAATCCTCTTGTTTAACTCAACGTGTTTTACTTTAGTATTTTGATTTCAATTCTCGTCTATCTAAAGATCTTTATTTTCTCTCCGTCTCTTTCTGTTTTTCTCCTTTTCATGTAGCACGAAGCGCTCACGTGAGTTCCGATCGAGCGGGAACCCGTAAGTTTTACACAAGATTTCGCGCGTATTGCCTTTTCTTTTTTAAAGATTATATTTATAATATAACGCGTGATAATAATGATTCATCAGCGGATTATTAAAGCTCAGATGATTTACGAGATTATCAAACAAAAATCCAAATAAATCGCGTAATCTCGATTCAAATAAATTCTGCAGTCTGCAAATATGCAAAGAGACAATGACGGCGATTAAACAGTGACCTGCACTGTCTTATCTATATCTTATATATATGCTTTACAGATTTCTCGCCGATCTTGGAAATGTGGAAATAATTTGGTAATCGCACGCTTGCACTGCAAGTTGATTAAATAGATTTCACTAACTGTATTCGATGGAAATATTCGTGTGTAGCTTCACCATTAAAATATTTCGCGGTTTTAAGAATAAAGTATCTTTAATAACTCATCTGTGTTATCTTTGAATTCCACTGGAAATTATTGCCGGCGTTTCCGCAATCGTGTAATCAGGGTTTAGTCTCACATTGACAGATTTATCAACGTAATCATCCGAGAGATTGATGACTTTTTTCTCCGTCTGAAATCATTGAGTGGTCGATGAACGTATGTAGGATGATGAACAAATAACCTTCGTCGATTTTGTTGAACTTTTTTCTAGTCTTTCACTGAGTCGGTGGGAGGTAATAAGAGTAACGAGCCGAAATTAACGTGAAATGGTGACAGACCGCACACGACTGGGCAAGTTTCTTAGCGTTAGCCAGGTATATATATATACGGACAGTCAATACATGAGTGACTACCGCGAACACGAGCTTCATCGCTCATGCGAGTACACCAGCAAGGGAGGGAGTAGATAGTGACAGTAGGTAATGTACTCAATTCGACATTACTTTGAAGTGTGCACGAGTGTACGGTAGGAATCAAGCGAATGGTTTTGCTTACCAATATTATAAGCAAAAAATTACTTCATATACCAATTAATAAGAGTATAGGATTTGACAACATTTGAAGAGTTAATTGTAAGTAAAATGTTGTTCCAGATGTATTAATAATTAATTAATACGAAAACAATTTTGCTGAAATATTAAAAAATTTAGATATAGATACATATTTATAGAGAATAATTTTGTAGGATCAAAATAATTATGATACCTAAAAATTTAGGTATAGATAAATATATGAAAATAATTGTATTGAACCATCCAAATAATTATATTGAAAACTTAAGCATATCAAACAATACTGCAAAAACTTTTGACACTGTAACAACGAGTTTACTTGTCTGTCGTACTTAATTATTTTAATAGTCTAACAAAAATATTTTCAGATATGTATGTAACTAAATTTGATTAAATATGTCAGCAAAATCACTATTTCCATGTACAATTATAATATAAAGAAGAGAGCAAGAGCGAACATTAGTTTAACTTCTTCATTTTTTTTATTAATAGAATCATTTATCAAGTATAAATGTCGATATCAATCAGAAAAATCGCCTGATTAGCTAAGAGTTACAAAATCGAAAATATGTTGTGGAGCTGAAGATAAATAGAACGTATAGAATGTGATGCGTGCAAAATATATAATTATGAGGAAATTTGAAAATATTTATGCGATTTACAAAATAATATTTAGACATTCCTTCTGAGATACCTCGATGTTTACGAATGAACAATCAAAATTGATGATAACAACATCTAAAATTATATATCGAAGCGCTATTTATCGAGCGTATAAACATCGAATTGCTTTCCGCTTTCACGTCTTTCCCTCTACCTAATCCTTGCGGTATCGCTTCCGCTTCTCTATCCCATTGCGCATTTATCCTCGCTCAAGTGCTGGTGACCGCGTAATGCGTAATTAATTGATTAACGGCACTATAAAATCGAAGGTTCGATAAAAACGGACGCGACGAGCCGCTCGAATCAGAAATCGCCGCCACCTCCGACTCCTGAAGAATACTACATCGAGTAACCGTTGCTTGTGTTTTGTACCCATAGGGACGTCGGTTATTCGACAGTGCGATCAGCTCGATTCGCGCTTCCACACCTCACGCGTTCCCTTTCACCTTATCTTCATCTCTCTTCGTTCACAGGTCGTGAGCACTCACCGTCTCTCTTCGTTCTCTTGCAAGAAGGTCTCCGGCTGGTCTCCCTTCTCTGGACCGCCTCTACGCCGCCGCCGCAGCCGCCGGTGCAGTTTCTCATTGTAGGTTGTCGCTCTTGTTCCACATCGCGAACGGCGCAACTCTGCCGTGCGTTACGTAAACGTCGGCCAAGGGAAATTGAAGGTGCCCCCTCGGAATGTCGCAAGTGCCACATTCCAATCTTTGCGGAAATTAAGGGACCTCGATACCGGTCAGATATCAATCACGTTGAGCAGACATTTGGACGCGAGAAAATCACAAAACAAGAACGATCGAGATATGTCATCCTTACGATACGCAAACTGAAATGATCTCATAATGAGCGGAGCACGAGATATTTCTTTGTACATAAAATCACAATATGCGAAAATAACTACAGTCGAAGAGTATTATAAATTTTTCGTATATTTTCTTCTCATTCTCTTCCTCTTTCGCTTCGTTGCTCTGAAGAATCTGTCCTTCATCGCTAATTATCTGCATCCTCAAGTGACATCAGACTGCTTTGCGAGTTATGTTATCGTAGGAAGCATAATTTGTGCTAAGAGTTTCTCAAGCAGTTTGACAGCCTATCAATCAACATTCTTCCTGCTTTGTTCCGCTATATTCTCTAACAATTGACCAGGTGCTTTCTATCGTCCCAAAAATCTGTGAAATAACACAAATGCGAATTGTTTTATCTAAAGATTATGGCATATATCAAAATAAAATTGCTATTCTAGATAAATAATAGTAATATTTATACACCTACACTCGATAACCTTCATTGATTAACTCTTAAAGACTGATTAAATCTTAAAACTAAAATTGATTGATTCGGAGAGAAATACAAAAATTTGATGTAAGTATTTGATTTAAACAAATTTTTTAAAACTCTCTTGTAAAAATTAATTTTGAAACTCTAGAAAAAATTTGAAATAAGACTAATTTTTTTTTAAGTTTTTACAAAATCCCCAAATTTGCAATAAATTTCTTCATGTATCTATAGAAAAAATAGTTTTGGTGAAGTATATAAAAATTTATCTAATGAGAGAGAGATATAAATCTGAAGATAATTTTGTTTGGATCATTAAAATAATTATATAAGATTCTCAAGCTGGTAATTAAAATGTTTCAGCATTGTTCGTCATGTTGAGAGTCTTATATAATTATATTTTAATGGTCCGAATACACAAAATTATTTTCAGATTTGTATCTAGCTAAATTTTAAATACTTCTGCAGAACTATTTTTTTGTACATTTCTAAGAAAAGTCGCACCAAGATCAGTAGCCACACGATGAAAATAGCGATGTTCTTTGCGAGCATCGTCCTCGTGGCTTCCGCCCACTTAGTCGATGTCTCGATTAGTATGGGTATCAGCAGCATGATCGTCGATATGCCCAAGGCGGAGATAAGGCCCAACAGAGGTACCATTTGGGGCACGGCGATGGCCAGCAGCGCTACGGGCAGAAAGAAGGACAAGGACGAGTTACTTCCGGCTAATTACAATCGACATTCGTGCTATCAAATGCTTATAATCCTGATACGCTTACTGGTGCCTATTACACCGCCTAATCGAAGCAAGCTTTCATAAAATCGATGATGCAGTGTACTCTTCGTGACGATTCTCGATTGAATCATAGGCCACAGCACACTGATCGGGACGTAGTACGTCAAACCGAAAGTAAATAGGGCTGACAAGGAAATGGCTATCTTGACTACTTGGGCCAGGCTGCAAAGCGTAACAAACGATAAAATGAATTAAACCATAAATTTCGGAATCTCTCTCTCTCTCTCTCTCTCTCTCTCTCTCTCTCTCTCTCTCTTGATACGAAAATCTATTATAAGATTTATTTTAAAAATAAATTTTTTGATATGGTAATGGTGGAGAAAACACCTTTTCTCTCTCTCAGCGCTATTATTATATAAAAAAAAGAGATCTAATTTAATACTCAGAAGATGTAATAATATAATGTTATACGTTTATAATGATGACAGAAAAACGGTCATTAATTATCTACCAGGAAATGTTCATTACTATTTGAATTTCAAAGTACTTCAGTAGTATCATAGGAATGCACATATATTATAACTTTATTAATCTACATATAATTATCGATCTGTAAAACTCGATCGTGAAGAGAGAAATTTCATAACAAAAAGATAAGCTACGTCACTGAACACGTGTTAATATATAGTGATACAGAACGTTGTTCGTTACGCGTAGATAAGATTTAATAATGCAAAAAAGGTACATTGATATTTCAACTGAGGTTGACTTTAAACTAGTTTTAAATCAGAGTAAACCTGAGTCCTTCACGTTTACGTGGTCAAACTGACCCTCGCAATTGTACATTGTGTATTTCTACGGTTGACTAGCTCCTTTCGCTTTTGTTAAGTTTAAGTTATTCAAAGGTCTCGTTGTCTTGTGATTCTTGCAAGAAATACACAATATATACAAAATAAATCATAAATACTCAACACGTAAAGAATCATACAATCACGTAAATGTTAAGCACATCCTGTTCTACCATCACCGATTACGCGATGTTAATTATACAGCTGTCATTTAAAACAGACAGCCGACATATTTACCGTTTGTCGCACGTTAATGCACAGTTTAATTGCCTTTGATAACGATTTGTTTGCAATTCCTGGCAAATAACAAATTTTTATTTGCACAAAAAGCTGATGTAATTTCTTCAAATATTTCGTTTACAAATGGCCTATAAAGTTAGCAGTTTCTTCTTTAAATATAATTAATTATAATTGATTAAAAGAGAAAAGAAATGAGCTTTTGATAATGATATGTTTGCAATTCTTGGCAAATGGGAATTTTATTTGCACACAAAATACTGATATAATTTCTTTAAATATTTCATTTGCAAATGTAGTAAAGCTAGCAGTTTATTCACTAAATATAATTAACTGTAATTGGTCGAAAGAGAAAGGAAAAAAGAAACATGTCAAATATGTGTATATTATGTATTCAACGTCAAAAGTATTAATTAAATCTGGACTAGTAGTGGTACGAGTATTTTGCAAGGCACAGAAAATATTCCGCTTACGTCTCCTCCATTGGTAAGTTCTTGATAACGGTGTCACAGGCGTCTGGGTACTTGTTGTATCCCAGGAAGCCGAAAGTTAGATATATGACAATGTTCAGCAAGTTGCTGGTGATAATCAGACGCGGCATATGACTGGGATGTCTCATCGTATTCTCCAGCGGAAGGTACAGGGTCATATTGTGCAAGGCAAACAGAAAAATGGCGCAATACATGGGCACAGGTAGAACTTCCGTCAGAGCGTCGAGTCTACGGGGATCGGGAACATCGTCCAGGAAGTAGTAGAACGCAGTGCAAACTCCAAGGAACAGGAACAAAGTACCGATAACGGAGAACGGCGCCAGATACTTCAGGTTTGGCACGAAGCCCAAGGCGCAGGTAAAGGGAAAGAAGATGCCGATATAGACACGCGAGGACATCTCGAGGTTCGCGAAAAATTCTATCACCTGAAAATGTCGCCAGCATGAAATTATCTAACTCTAATTTATTTTTTCTAAATCGAAGACATCGAAGATTATATCACACATCGAGTGAGAACTTTTATCGTAAAAAATGAAAGTAATCGTATTTTCTTGTAGATATCGATTTCACGCAATTTTGCCTTATCTTCGTGTTTGTTTCAATATCTGCAATACTTTTACAATAATAAAAAAAAATGAGACTGACACAAATAAAATGAAAGCAAATGTGAGCAAAGTTTTAATAAAATCCTTCAAATAATCTCCGCGCGTTCGATGTTTCCGTAATTAAAACGTGAAGCTAAGATTTCCGGATACAAGCCGATGGATGCGAAGGACTCTTTCCATAAGAAAAAGAGTCCACGCGGTTTCGTTAAAGAATTGTCCGTTAAAATTGAGGTCGGATTGTTCCGGATTGTATCCTATACGTAAAAGGATTTTTGTACGCAAGACTCGCTGAACGGACGTCACGATGTCGCTTTATCGTTTTCGACTTCCGGCATGAGAATCGCGGCGTCGTGTCGTACCTGTTGGAACGATGTGGCCACGTATAAGATGTATATCACTGCGGCCTGAAAGTGCACGAAGCAAATGATCACGTTGGTAACTACGCCAAATAGCTTGGCGTACTTTCGAATCCTCTCCGGACCTGACTGGAAGGAGAACTGCGCCGTTTCGGCGAAATTCAGCATGGGCACGCGATTACGTCTGCATAACGCCTGAGAGCACTGCACCTGCACACCAAAAAAAAGAGAGGCAGACAAAGAGAGAAAAAGAAACTCGCCTGCATTCAGATGTGTTTCGCGCGACGGGACCTTCCTTTTTCTCTACGTTTAATAACTTATCTCATTAGTGGCGCTGATTCCAAACAATAATTGAGTTATCGCGATATAAGGGCAAGAATATCATAAACAAAAGGATGTTTCTATTTTCCATTTCTCGTTAATTGTTTTCGAAACACTAACGATAACGTTCGAGATGAAAAAATTATCGCTTTCCACATCCTCACGTACGATAATGACGGCCATGTGAATGCACAGCGTGCCGATGACGATACCGCAGACGATGGACACCATGTAGCCAGTCCTTCTGAAGGCGTGCGGTAAGAAGAGTATACCGGTACCGAGCGCACACTTTAGTAGATGCATCAACACGGCAAAATCTCTGCAAAGATTTTTTCATGAATAATGTAAATGCGTCCTTCCTGTTTGTCTATTACTTATATCTTGATAATTAAAAACGCAATAAATAAAATAATAGATTTCAATATGAATTTTGATAAAGGCTCCAACGAATAAATTCAAATAAATTAGAGTAACAAGGCTAAGAAGCCAGTTGTTGATGCTTATAAGTATATTTACAACAGTAAAAATAAAAAAAGTTGACATTTATTAATATCAGAAGTAAACAGACGTTTCGACCTTTTGTGACCTGATGTAAAAAGGTCGAACTCCCCGTCTTTATTTCTAATATTAATAAATGTCAACTTTTTTATTTTCACTGTTGTAAATATATTTATTATTATAATCATTAATAACGGGCTTGGCTCCTTAGCCTTGTTATTCTAATTTATTAAAATAATAGATATTTGAGCAGCAAATTTTCAAAATGCATTTTGTTCGAAATTTATAATTTTCAGAAAACGCGAAAAAGAAGCAATTAGAAAAAAGTAATTAGAAAATTATTTGCTTTACAGAAAATAACAACATTAATCAGTGAAATGTTAACAAAATAACAAAATTGCTAAATAATTGTTAAAAATGATAAACAAATGCACTTTGTTTTTCTCTAGTTAAAAGTCGTAATGCACGCGCACACATACACACACACTTTAAAATATCTATGTTTTTTTAGTATAATAAGTAACAACGCTTTTTGAACGTTTTAAAGTATATCCATGAATAGAAAATGTATATAAACCGTTATATGACCTTAAGTCATTGTTTGAATAATATAAGATTTAAGAGCGTGTGTATCTGTGGCTAAAGGTAGCTTAATTGTTATAATATAGAATTAGCTGATACCTCTTATCAACTTATACACATTTATACGTATCAAAAAATTACATAAACCTCCGAAATTGAAGGTGTTAAGAGATATTTGAGGAATAAGAGTGGCTTTCTATTGTATGTAATTTTATATATGGAATTTAAATCTAACTGTACAAAATTGGCCTAGCACATTGAGTTTTTAAAATACATATTTTAGGTTAAAGTATTCAGAAATTGCTATTTTTAATTCAAAAAAAGATAAAAAATGATATTTAAAAAATTTATATTTTTACTTATTTTTACTCAAATTTACATTTCAAATCTGACAAAAATTTTCATGTCACAAATTGATCTGGTCAGATCAGGCGTCACAAGATTGCTATGGATGGTTCATTGAACTTTTATACGACATAAACCTTAAAACATATTAATTAAGTATAAATATATATATAATATATATGTATATATCTCAGCGAAAAAATCGCAACCAAAAATAGATCTTGAAGGAAAATATAACACGTACCATACACAATGCTCTTAGTAGATATATTCGAAAAAAATATATTTCTCTAAAATAAATTCATGAATGTGATCAAAATAGCCTTTTCTGTATATTTTATTTTACCTCAAATATTTCAAAACCTGACGTGTTACATCAATTCTGCAATCAGATTCGGATTCAACGTACAAAATTACATATAAGATCATTTCTATTTTTCAAACATCTGAAACTCGCAGGTCTATGTTATTTTATAAATTATATAAATTTTGAGATAAATCTACTTTATCATGCAGTACGTGCAGAAGAAATTATAATTAATGATATATTTCAAAATTTTTAATATTATAGTAATAAAACATTTTTTAACAGATTTAATTCATCACGAATTGCTAAAGTTTAGTTTAACGTGCAAATCGACATTTATTAAAAGTATATCAATATTATAATTTTACACTCAATAATAAACACATATACGAAATAAACGGAAATATTTATTTAATTTAATTTTTTATTAAAGTAATTATTTAAAAGTTTAACTAAATATAAATCAGAAAATAATTTTGTTGAACTATCAAAATATAATTATGTAGGACAGGGATTCTTAAAGTCTGGGTCGTGTCTATATACTAGTGAGTCGCAAGTCGATTTTTGGTTGGTTGCGAAAAATTTCAGAATGTTAAATTACATTTTATTATATTAAGAATGCTGCTCCTTTTCGCGATTTCGTATGTGTGTGAAACTGGATTTTCAGCGATGATAGGAAGTAAAACTAAATTGTAACATATGTTATAATTGTTAAACTCCTTGTGACTGAAAATTACTTGTATCAATATTGACATTCTATTATTAAATATTAATAGATATATTAGGAAATAAGTGCACTTTTCACAAACATCTCATTTATCTAAAAAATATATTAATAATATATATCTAATAAAAAAAAATAAAAGAGCAGTTAAGTATAAATAAAAAAATTACTTGCTTTTCTTCTTTGTTTTTCCGTATTCATTAAAACTAGATAGATCGCAGGATTTGCTATTTTAAAAAGTGAATACTGATTTATAAAAGTTTAAATTAGGAAAAACTTGATGTAGGATGTACAAGATAATTGCTAGAATATAAAATTATTTGTAATATTGCTAATCATATTTAAGATTTCTACATAATTGTTTTAATAGTCCAACAAAATTATTTTTAGATTTGTCTCTAATTAAATTTTTTAATATTTTATTATTCTTTCCATGTGATATAATAATAGTTATACATTGTCGAATGTGAAATTATAATACAAATGATGTTATTATTCTTTTAGTTGATGTGTGTATCGATTAAAGTATATATATTTAGAAAAAAATTTTAATTGACGGCAATCAAGGGAAAGATACAAAACGTACGAGGTTAGAGGTGCGGATGGACGATGGGCAAAGGGATCGTACTCCTCCTGAATCTGCCGTTCAGCTTGAACGTCCTCTGCGCTTCGCCTTATTGGAATGTAAGATCTATCGTCATTGTCGATCGAAAACGTAGATATGGTGAATCAGAGCGTCTTAATGCTTAAGAGATGTCTTACTTATCGATCATATCACGCGTTGTCTGGAACTCCGCAAGGTTTACCATCATTCCTGGATCTCTTTGATGATATTAAAGCATTCAGATCTCCCACGGATCTCCTGTTCGTGGATTCCGTATGACGCTCCTGTCAAACTATGATAACCGATAAACCACCTATTAACCCGCTTACGCGGCGTTCAATGACGATAATGCCTTTCTGTAAACCCGTTTAACAGAAATGGCATTTAAGGTAGGAGAACATTCAAGCGCAACTTTATCGTTTAAGAAAATGCGACGGTTTCAAAATGCAGTTTCAAAACGCTATTAAACCAGACGGGCAATTACGTTGTAACTTTAATTGATATTTACATCCGTAGTACGAAGTCGTCTCGAATTATCGATTTAAATCGCTTGTATTCTACGAAATTATAGAAAGGAAGAAACAGAGATTTTCAAGTCTGCATTTAAAATAAAATGTCAAAGTGCTTTCTTGATTTATTGAACTTAAAGAGATTCAAGAGTTAGATTGCTCGAAAATCTTCGATAATATTTTGAACGATATTGTTTATATAATTAACACATAAAGAGCAAAAACTATTTTTTATTAATAAATATTTATATAAATAAACAAAATTTATACAAATAAACAAGTTTATCAAATATAAATACAATATATTCACATATATATATATATATATATATATATATATATATACAAACACTTTATTTCTTTTTCGAGATCATTGTTTTGCAATAATATCTCAGCTTTCAGTGTTAATCGTGGTGAATTTGAACTATAAAACTTCTACAAAAGAGCAAATAAGAATTATTGCTTAAAACAATTTAAAAATATAAATAAGGCACAGAGCCAAATTAATTTAACGAATTATTTAATTTATATATTAATACAAAAGCAGACGTTTCGACTCCGATCGAGTCATTTTCAATGATACAATATTGTACATAAAATTAAATTAACATATTTTTTCTATAAAATCTTCCTATTGTTGAAAATCGTGGAAACAATGCGTTAAGTTTGAACATTCATAATTATTTGTATCTTATCTTTGATCCTAATAAAAAGTATATAAATAAAAATTAACATTGTTCAAAATTCTCAAATACAAATATAAAAGTCTTATTTACCTTGTCAAAAATAAAATTTAAAAATGTGATATGTCCATATGTGTAAATTTCTTTAGAGTCAATTTGTTATAAAATATATTTGAAGTAATAAAATAAGATAATCTGCAGCTGTCAAAACTGAATACGTATCATTACGTATTCAGGAATGTATTATATTGGTGTACATTTCGGGTAATAACTCTGTGTTATTTTGTCTGTTTATACCGTATCTGTTTTTTAATATGTTCCCTATCCTCGACTTAAATTCGTCTTTCCTTGTTGTCTTTCCTCTTCTTCATCCTTTGACTTTTTATTCCAACGACATTATCCTATTTACTTTCACAATGATACGTATTCAGTTTTGACAGCTGCAGATTATCTTATTTTATTACTTCAAATATATTTTATAACAAATTGACTCTAAAGAAATTTACACATATGGACATATCACATTTTTAAATTTTATTTTTGACAAGGTAAATAAGACTTTTATATTTGTATTTGAGAATTTTGAACAATGTTAATTTTTATTTATATACTTTTATTAGGATCAAAGATAAGATACAAATAATTATGAATGTTCAAACTTAACGCATTGTTTCCACGATTTTCAACAATAGGAAGATTTTATAGAAAAAAATGTTAATTTAATTTTATGTACAATATTGCATCATTGAAAATGACCCGATCGGAGTCGAAACGTCTGCTTTTGTATTAATATATGAATTAAATAATTCGTTAAATTAATTTGACTCTGTGTCCTATTTATATTTTTAAATTGTTTTATACATATTGAGCCTTCTTATTATTACTTATATTGAATTATTGCTTAGTTTTTATTAATAAAAGAACTGAATATCTCTATCCTTTTTTACACAAAGAGTTAATAAATTCTCAAAATAAAATGGTTATTCGCGATTCATTTTATAGAGGCAAACCTTCCGAAAAATTCTAGCTGAAATTCATTATAATCGATCCACTGAAAGCCAAGATATTATTGCAAAACGACGACCTCGAAAAAGAAACGGAATATATATACAGAGTGTCCGAAAAGAAAGGTTCAACATTTATAGGATAGATAAATTATGATACTAACATACAAAATATTTTGTTTATATCTCAGGAATGGTGAATTTTCGATTTATGTCTAAAGGGTTTTTATTCACTATAGTATGTACTATCTATCTTATAAATATTAAACTTTTTTTCGAATATTCTATGTATACATATGTATGTATGTGCGCGTGTCTGCGCGCGTGTGTGCGTATCGTATATTTATTTAAGTATCTGTCAATAACAAATATATTTTTTTTTCTTTTTATAAATTGTATAAATATAATTTAAAATTTTTTGTTTTGTACATTTATTTAGATCGTCATAAAAAATTATCAAAAATTTAGAGCAATTTAATCTTCTAGTTTTCATAAATTACTTTCAGATATTAAACATTTTTTTCATACGTTTTTTGACATTCAACAGTCTCTTTCAAATAATTGTAATAGTGTATTCAGAAACTACGCATTCTCTCAAAATAGAAACATCTATTATATGGTAAATAATATATAATTATACTCGTCCTTTAGTATAATAGAAATGTGAGTCACATATGCTACTATTTTATTGTGAAATATAACTGTGTATGTACATATAATAACAACCTTTAAAGAAATAATTCTTTCGCGTAGATTGCATAATGTTTTCTTGGTAAACGGTGAACTTGAAATACTTTACCAGCCAAGGAAATATACGTATGCGATATTGGAGTTGAATGCATAATTATAACGTTTTCATTTCCATTTACGCTGTGTTCGGGGAGCGTGCTATCGGTGTGCTATTGTGTCATTTTATCTTTATCGTTCATTACAGACAGAACAAGAACAGAGAATGACGCAATAATGCTGATAGCACACCTTCCGAATGCAGCCTTCCAAATGAGAAATGACAATGGAATCGATGTCAATTCGATGTCGATTTCATTGTCATTTCTCACTGGATTAGCCTTACTGTGCATAAAAGAACTTACATTGTCGTTGGGTAGATATAATATACGGCAAAAAAGACTGCACAATAATAATGTAACAAACACTTGTTGAAAATTATACAATCTAGCTTCAGGAGCGTAAAGTTGTTACTCGAAAATAACAAAATGCTTAAAACAGTGAAGTAATGTTTTCTGAAATTATTGAAATGCATTTTTTTAATTATAAGGAATTCTAAACAATAGGACATATATTATTCATCATTTATACAATTAAACGACTGTTGAAATGAATTATGTTTCAATTTTCGGCATTTTTTGGCAGCTCAATAAAATATGTAAAAACTGGTTCTAAAAAAATAAGCTTCTTTATCATCATTTCTCTTTATACTGGAAGTGATATTTACTTCAATCAATATATCCTTAATAAGTTAACAGAAATGAGTTTCGAGTTTCATGCAATAATAAAATGAAAATTTTCAATATTTATTGCGAATTAATTTCTCATGAAAGTGGTATAATAATTGAATTGATCTTATGGTAACAATGGACATTTTATAAAAACAAAAAAAAATTGATATAATTCTGAGTTAAAGTGGTGGGAAAAATACATTTATTTATAGCCACACACATTGCTATTAATTCATATTTTGGTACGTCTCTGAAGAGTTTATTATTACAGATAAAGAATGTTATGAGAAAAATAAAATTCGGCTACATTGTGAATTATCCCACTGTTTATTAAGATTTTTTCAATTATTTTTATATACTGAAGGAATATTATCTAAAATTCTAAAATCTGTATTACATTTCATAATCTCATTACATTGAAAGATTTTAGTACTCTTTAATAAAATATCTCTAATAAAATCTCTAATAAAATATATACGTTTTGCTTAAATACAAGTCGTTCACAGTTATTTATATACGATAATCCATCAATGTCAAAGATTTAGGAATATTAAAAATGCATACTAATAATAAATATCTTTAAGTAATTTCATTTTATTAATAGGATCACATTATCGCAGATTCGTTACAGATAAATTTATTTACATTAGCGCTAATTTATTTAAATAAATCACGATGTCGTCTATGTACAAATATGTCGGTGTGTATATTTGTAAAACAATAATTAATAATTCTATGATGATAAGACATACCTAAACTAGATAAAATATAATACAGCAACAGCGCTTTAATAACCATCAGTATCGGGAGGATGCTACACCTTCGCAGCCTGTTTACACGATCTTTCTCGATTACGCTTGTCAATTAAAAATATAAAAATAATAGCCTCCAGTCGGCAGTGCGTACGCTAATACGGGCACTAAAATCCACCGACTGTATGAATAATAATAGTATCTGAGCATTTTCGTAACGCCACGAATCCCATTGTACAAAAAAGAAAAAGACAAGGAAAAAAGCAAAGTTCACCGAATGCAGATCGGTTCCCCAGTTCGTTTCCGCCGCGCATAAAGACATTAGGCGCTAATAAAATAAGTAGAATCCGTCAGTCCTATGACTTATACCTTAAACTATATGTTAATCACATGTTTCGCGGTTATTTATAGCTAGGATCACAGGCTCTGTCTGTGATTATTATTCAGTGTTCACAATCGTCATTGTTAGTTATAAATAATTAAATTGGTTGTTGAAATGAGGAACTGTGTAGTAAATAGTTTTTTTTTTTTTTTTTCTTCGGAGTCGCGGGATCGTGAGTTTATGCGCATTGAAACGCGACTCTGGTGATCAATCAATAAATTCGACGAGCCTCAACCTCCCTGTAATAAGTGAGAGTTAACAACATCGCTCACTTTTATCACTCTTAGTTAAAATACACATTGTATGTATGAGCGAAGAACGAATGAACAACGAAAGTGAATCAAATTTGTTTAAAAAAAATTATTTATAATGTATCACACTCTATTCTATTTATACTGTTCGCATTCATTGTCCGCGCGTTCGTTGTTCATACATTCGATGTATATCTACCAATGCATATCCGTTATTGTATCCAGTGGACGAATGCGCGATAATTAAACATGATATGTTATTTTCGACAAAGTATGAGTGGAGAACACTCAATATATTTCCATATTCGATGAGAATTTCAGCGTCTATCTTGTCTTTTGAATTTCTTAACAGTCACGCATTTCGCCCAAGCGTAGCACAATATTTTTCATTAACTAAATATCAACTAAATTCAGACATAAATTCGCATATAACACACGCAATAAATAAGAAAGCAATTAATATCTGAATAATAATCATATCGTATCAAATTGAAGATAGAAATGCTAAATGGAATACAAAATTGCAGCTACGGAATGTGAAATATCGACTGTGCTATTATCCTCTGTTGCGAGCTAATAATACGATCGGATCTTTTCACACACTGACTGCTAATAATACTTTTGTTACCGAAAGTTTTCGCTTGAAGACAAAAGATTACAAATTCATGAAACATCCTAAAAATAGCACTGTATATGAGACGTAAATATAAATTTACAGAATTCCAAAGTCACCGAACGTAGACCAAGTAATCGAAAGTTTGATTAACAAACTCATTCTTGACGTTGGTTAGATAAACCAAATATCATTTACACATTAAAATAATATCAAATATAACATCAAATAAATATAAGCGCTTGCCTTTGTATCTATTGATATGCAACTCGATAAAATATTCGAAAATATTTCATAATTGATAAGAATTTCACATATGCCTTTTGATAAGTTAGGTATACGTTTTACACACATACAAGAAATTCGAATAAAGATTGAAAGAAACGCGTAGTCCTGTTCTTCTTAAAAAATTCGAAAAGAATTTTAAATAAATCTTTAGTATTATAAATAAACATGATATATCTGTATGAATTTGAAATGTGACCATATTTAAACATGATATATTTATATTAATTTGAAATTTGACCTTTATCTTTATATCGTCAATGAAAGCAATAACTTTAATTTTTTTTTGCACAATTATTATATTATCAGCTACATCAGGTGTACACATTACAAATTAATGTACGTTGTGATGCAAGTCAATACATCATTTTTATTTTTGATTAGATAGCAAAATTGACTGCTAAAAAATCTCCGTCATGTTATAAAGGTATATGAAATATTTTTTAAATGCAACTCGAGGGAAGTACATATAAGTCCTGCATGGAAATGGTATTGTTATATTTCAGTTTAGAATCGTTGGATTTCTGTCCGTTTAGAATCTGCATAAGACGTGATTCTTAAACAAATAAAAATGAAAAACATTCAATATTAAAAAGGCACAGAATAAGGGTCATTGAGAACGCGAGTGTCGTTCCTCCAGCGCGTATCATCTAAACAAATATGTTTCACGTGTCTAGAATTCTGTTATTTATACATTTGCGCACGCGTCGATGACACGATGCGAATAAGGCCGCGTAGAAGCAGAGCCAGTGGTATGGTGTAAAATAATGGAAAGAAGCAAGAGCAAGTAATTCACTCTATGCGACTCGCCATTTTACTAGCTTTGCATTAACGTCGACGATTGGCGCATTTAATCTTCGCTCGAAATCGGATGACATTCGAGCGAATCGCATTCGGCCAAGGCCTCGCCGCGTCGTAGAGGAAATTCGTCGGTTAGCAGGCTTTCTGGCACTGTAGCCGCCGAGTCGATGCTGTCGAAATAGCGGTGAGGCCACGCGGAGCTCGGACGAAAGCGCCTGGTGGGCGAACCGATTATGAATTCTACCCGCGTGGAACCGGTGACGGACGATGTCTCTTGATTCAGGGAGTCCGGGTAGAGGGACGAGTCGCTGTGCCGGAAACTGCTGTTGGTCGAGCACCAGGAACTCGGTGGTTCGGTGCAGTTCTGGAAGATACGAGGTGCGTGTTAGTCAGTTAAATAAATAAAATGCGCCCTGTTCTATTACAAGTGCGAAAATTCTCCTGCCGCTACTACAGCATCGCTTTAGAGATACATCGTCTTGGAGATACATCTTAAAGAGATGCGTGACAAAGAGATTAACTTTATATTAATACCCAAGAATTTAGAACAGCCGATTTATGTCAGTTTTGTGAGAATATATTATCAGGAAAAATTTACATGTTAAACGTAGAACGGTAACAATTTATAAAAACATTAGTACTACTGGCTGTTTTAATGCTGAGGTATCAAGATCTGTTATCCCTCATATGTATTTATGTATTTAACATGTGTATGGGCAAAAGTAAAACTCTTATACGAAGCGAATTTACTACTTAATAACTTTGAATTCAATCATAATAAATATAAATATAAGAATCGTAGTAATTAAGTAAAGAGAGCGTGTCATGAATTTTATTAGCAAATGCAATATATTGTAAAATGTAACATCGTCTCGCGCGATATTACTAGACATAAGATGGACAATGAACCACAAGGCCAAGCAGGTAAACGAATGGTCAATTCATTTTCCCTCAAAATCGCGGATGTGACTATAATAGACCACGATTACGACGGCTCTCTCGAGTTTTTATACTCCGTAAACAAGCAACGCTAGCAAATAAGATCAAATCTCAGCAACCAAAAAGAGCAACTCAATTTAACATACAACATACATTTGAAAGAGCGGGAAGGAAGACTCGCTAGCGCTGAATGCTGATGATGATCAAAATGATACGTGCTAATAAATGTACTAAAAATAAAAATGTTTTCTCTTTTTTTCTCTCCCTCTATATTACAAGAGTAAAGAGATATGTATGTAGCGATATGTATGGGAGTATCGAGATAAATGAATATGCGACGACTCGAGCATGTATGGTTGTGTGCGTTTTTATGAATGAAAGATAACTGTGTAGTTATCTAAATGTGGCTAGAATATTTCTAGTTTTGTTTAGAGCGGTCGGTCCTATTTCAATAAAACTTCGGCAATGGAAACTCGCGTTTATCGTAATGAGTGCATAGACTTTGATCAAATATTCGGCCGCACATGCACACATTTTAACGGGTTCTCGTAAATAAATCGCAAAAGAGAAGAAAAAGCGACAAAATCCAAATCTGTGCGAATAACCGTTTAACCCTTTGTGATGCCAATTTGAAATAAAATAAGTGTGTCTTTTTTTATTTTATTGTCTGTTTTAATACTAGCGTAGATCATAGAAATGAGCCTTTAAAGTCTTAGAAATTAAACAAGAATGTATTAGTTTCTATTTAATCTATAAATTTTATACGATATAGAATTAGCAGTATTCCCTGAAAGAAAAGAATAATTTCATTCAAGAGATAAGTGGAAATTAAAATAACAATTTTTAAAATTTAAATTTACGGTAATAAACTACTAATATGAACGATTAAGTCCGTCTATTAGTCCTATACAGTATTCAAACAAAACGCATTAACATATTAAAACTACGTTATCCATTCCAAAAGTTTAAAGAATTCTTACATAATATATTTGCAAAGATAAGCATTCTTACTGATATTCGTAATCTGGGAGGTTTGACTACGGGTACGTGCACATGCCAAAATTCAAGTGATAGCGTTCAAACCATGGTGTATACTCTACCGGTGTAGGCAAAGGGGAAAAATGAAAATAAGTTGAAAAGACAGAGGCTACAGCTCACCACATCCAGGAAAAAAGCATCAAAGCAAATGATAATAAAAGAAGCATAACTTACGAGAAAAAACCGGCGGCACGCGAGAAGGGGCCACTTTCTTTCTTTATTGGACCGCTGTTGGGGACGGGCTCGAACGCACGCTCGCCTGCCCTCCAGATCAGACTGATTTCGGTATGGTGGACGGTCGGGCGGACAATTGGTAGTTTTAAAACAAGAATCAGTCGATTCGCTCGCTCAAGTTTCTGCACGTATTGTTACAGATGTTTTTTTTTATTTTTTTTTCAGGAACATCAATTTATCAGGCAAAGATAGTGGCTCAGCGAAAACGGGAGTTCCGTTCCTGTATGATTGTATATCGTTGTACCGTATCGAAGTCCGCGGTAGAATAGAGGAAGAATGGAATAGGACGAGGACGTAATAAAAATAGATGTCACGGGAAAAACGGTAGGAAATAACAGCGTTATGAAAGTCGGTGCATGTATCTGTATCATCGCAGGAAACCGTACCAGATACATTCTAGATAAATATACGTACTTTTGGTATCACTAGATGATATAGTCACAGTTACGGTTGTTATGTAAGGACGTAACGTAATAAGATAGTAATAGTAGTAGTTACAGTAGCGAAAAGTACAGAGATGAGACAGTTAGAGCAAGATAGTACAGAAAGACTCGTCAAATGAAAATAACGATAGTAGAACGACGCTGTTTAGTCCGTCTAGCCAATCTTAATTTAACGAAACCAAAGTCAGTACGGGTTGAAATGAGACATTACCAAAAAGTAGAAAAGACAGCAGTTTTCTAATCTCGTTACAAAGGTTAAGAGAATGGACTTCGAAGGGAATGATGCTGAAGGCGGTGATTGTTCCTAAGAGAGAGCAACTACAGCCTGTCATCCTGAAGGAGAGAAGGCTTGCCAACAGCTCTCTACTATACCGGGCCATTGGACAACGGTGACTTCAGCCAGCTGCTCCAAAAGAATTGCTTTACAGGTCGTACCTTGCCGTTCTCAGACGCATCGACGGACGTCGCTGCGCGCGCCAGGCTGTGGGAACGGCGTGCAGGAGCGGGCGGTCGTCGAGGAGGAGCGTTAATCGTTCCCGTGTTGGGCGAGGATGTGCCGAGGTTGTTGTTAGACTCCAGCGAGTCACGGGCGCGGGACAGCGAGGAGGATTTGTTTAAGGAGTCTCGGCTGGAATTGTTACGCGGCAGGGATCGATTGTTCAAAGACGACTCCCGATTTGTTTCCTTGCTGCCGGCGCCAACGCTACTGGTGTTGTTTCCGTTACCGCCGCTCCTGGATAGACTTCTATTGCCTAGCGAGTCCCGACTGGATTCGCGCGGTTTCGATAACGACTTGCCGCCGCCATGGCTGTCACGACTAGAATCACGCGGTGGTCTCGTTAGCGATTTGAGTGATTCCCTGCTATCGTTCCTGCCGTGACTGGGCGGTCGCGCAGGCGTCGTTGCAATCACGCTCGTTGTAGGCGTTGTCGTTGTCTTGCCGCTCACATTGCCGGGTAAAGGTATACGACTAGGACGTCGCCGTGGCGACGGTTTAATCTCTACCGGCTGATGATGGTCTCGCGCGGACTCCGTACTGCTGCCGGGCTCGAGGCCGCTTTGCTCGCATCTGGGCTGCTCCAAATCCGCCTCGGGCTCGACTTCCGTTGGTGGTCGTTGTTGAAGACGTTCCAATACGCGCACTCGCGCCCGCGTACCTTCTAGTTCGATATTTCGTTCCTCTAACTGAAAGAGATACGGATCATATTATATTGTATTATAACGAATAATATTATATTGTAATAATATCATATTGAAATATTATTTATAATAAATATCTGTTCACAGAAAAATGTAATTTAATAATATGGTATTAATTTTAAATAAAGTTGTATGTTTAAATATATATGTATGTGTGCAGCAACTTTTGATTGCGGCTCACCTGGAAACGCAAATCATCGTTCTCCTCGCGCGCTTTATCCAATCGCTCTGAGAGAGTTTCTGTACTTTTCTTGACTTCATCTAGCCTTTTTTGTAGGACCTGTAAATCAAGGAATTAATAGACATTGAGCAGGTTTATTCTTTTCACTTTTAAATATATAGATGTATTAGAGAGAGAAAGAGAATAGGAACGATCGATCTTACCTGATTATGGACGGTAGTGGTAATTAAGTGCCGCTGAAGCTCGAGGGGCGAATGCTCGCGAAGAATGGCCGCAATCTTTTTTGAGTCGACGTCTTTCACGTGAGTCACCCTCGTGGGCGAGACCAGGATGGAATCGAGCGCTCCCAACCTGGCTCGCCTTTCATTCACGTTCGCCTCAACATCGATGTCGACATTACGCATCTCGTCATTACACCCGACAACATCCAATAATACATTCTTCTCGATGGTCCTTGTGCGAAAGCGGCTCTTGTGAACCTTGCTTCCAGGACTACCGGTGACCGACACGAACGCCGAACTGTTGCTTTTGATACTAGTAACATTTGCATTTTTCGGCGAGGAAATTACCGGCGCGATAGGTTGCAGTCTTTGAACGCCCGGTGTTAAAATTTCCGGGGCGTTCTCGGTCAGTCCAACCCGCAACCGATCCTCCAGACCAGTCTTCAGTGCCGATAGGGCGGCCAACTCCGTTTGCAGTTCTTGAGCTCGGGCACGACTCGATATCGTCTCTGCTTCGAGCTCGGCCACTTTATCTAATAACTGTTCCTTCTCCCGCCTGAGAGCTATCACTTGCGGGTCCCTACTATCCTGTAGATCGACACTCCCATCGTTAACATTAATATTACAGCCAATTGTTCTTCTATCAGCATCACCGAGGTCAGTGATTTTTCTCACAGCTTCGAGCACATCCGTCGACACCAGCTCCTCTGTCGAAACGCTCTCCAAGCGACCCTGAAGGCACTCGACTTCCTCCCGCAGCCGAATTCCTTTACGATGGATCACATCTAGCAGGTTCCAGAGCTCGTCCTCCGCCTCGTCCAATGTATTCGGTCGAGGACTGCTTGCTCGCGGCGCAATCGCCGTCGAGGCGCTGTCCTTCGACGAAGTTTCCGTGCTGAAACCTGAATCCTGGACCGTCGCGCTGCAGTTGTTCTTGGTGCCGCCACTATGGGAGTTGCTGCGGCTTCTAGGCAGCGACGAAGACGATTCACCTCCACCCCCGCTACCGCTTCCACCGCTGCCGCCGCCGCCGCTACTTTCGCGTGTCACTCGCCGTCTTATCTTGCCAGGCTCCCATTCACTGATCCTTCGCGAGGACGGGCTCGACAGCGGCAACGGGATGTGCGAGCTCTGGGTACAGGTAGACGACATCACGGACGCACCCGCGGACGCCGTCGCGGCCATCTTGTGCCGGAGGTTTGGGAACGTCTCGATGACGAGGTCCCGGAACTCGAGCAGAGCACCGACTTCATTCTGCAGTTCCTGCAGTGCCACCAGGGACTTAGCTTGTTCGTTGATGAGGTAGTGAAACGGACCGGGGCGCAAAGGCATGCAGTCCATGCCACCGCTGCCGACGCCGCTGCCACCGCTGCTGACGCCGTTACTTGCACTGACGTTCACCACGACACCCTCTGTCGAACCGCCGCCGCTGCTATTGCTACCGCACTGCTACAACAACAAAAAGAAGAAATCTATTTCGTAATCTGTTATAAAAAACAGGAAGTATAGAATATAACTTTATATTGTGTATTTTATTCTCTAAATTCTTTTTAAAAGAATGAAACTATGTTTTGAAAAAAGAGTGGTTCAATTTTCAATCTTTCAGAGTATAAGATTTAATCGAAAAGAGTATGAGAGAGTACTTTTACAATCTATAATAATGCCATTGCATCATACGGAAAGAATCAATCATTGATAATATACAGTTTACAGACTTGGTATGTAGTATTGCAATGTATATGCGATATGAATTGCGTATGTATGTATTAGGATACATATATGATAACATATGTGAGGTACATAAAAAAATATGCAACATATATAAAATTATAAGAATTTTATCTCCCTAAGTCCGACCATTTAATGAATCTTAATAGCAGAATATAATTAAAAATATATTAGACATATAATAATATATTGTAATAATGTTCACAAATTTTGTATAAAATTATTTTTACTGTATCAATTTAAACTCAAATAAATTATTATTTCGATTGTTTTTCATATAAAAATCATATTTTCTTTTTTATATAAAAAACCCGAATTTCTAAAATTGAAAAATTGTCCCTTAATGTGACCATTTTATTAATTAATTCTCATAGCATTAAAATTTAATGCTATCATTTATCATTTCATGATTAAATGATAAATAGAAAATTTCTTCATACAGTTGTTAAAATTTCTAATTTATTTATGAGTTACACTAATGCAAATAATTCACAATTGCTATACTTTCTTTTTATCGTTGAAATCGACGACGACACTTTCTCATCATCTAATCGTTTTCTAGTACTACAAATTGAAATGAAGCCCTATGTATACCTAACGGTTTCACCATCCACTTTCTTGCGTAAAAATAACATATTCGCTAATCCTAAGTGAGGCGCTAACTGTTATCCGAATGTGCTAGTATTATAATTTGCGAAGTCTGGCACGTTTTCTTTGGTGCACCGTCAATCTCGCTACTATTGCATCCTTCCTTTCGGACACACCCGCGCGAACGAGCCGTGACAACAGAAATTACGCCGATAATCGACGTAATTTATCACATTGGAAAGTGCAATTTCTATCTCGTTCCCGTGAGAGACCGAAAGCGTCCTTCCATTATTCCAGGGACGTGTCCAATATCTCACGTGGCAAATACATACCGCGAAAGCTTTTACGATATTTCTTATAAAAACCGATGTCACTCAATATACTTTACATCGATTCCAAGGCAATCTGAGAATCTTTCAAAATGAATTGAAAAATCAAACAAAATCAATATTGAAAGTTTTGCATTACTTTTTGTTATATTACGCAATATTGTATTTATATTAGTAAATTTTTTTGCGATTTTATTATACAGGATGTTCCTGGATTAAATCGCTACACTTAAAATATGAATTTAGGACCTTAAAGCAAACAAAATTTTTGTTGCAGAAGTTCGCTAGCAAACACTTTGTTTAAGACATATTGACTTCTTACAAGACTATAGGAATGAATAATGTTGAAATATCAGCAAAAAATGCATAAAGTGCCTGTTAATAACTTTCAATCATTAAAAAGAAGATAATACAAACGTACAAAGAAATTACAGACGCACAACGTCAATCGTTCTCTTATCGATAAGTGCATTGCTTATCTCAGGACTTGGAAGCCATCGCTTTTTAAACAAAATATTTAATAATTATATTTTAATTACTGTAAAGCAATAAAGGAGATGAACTCAAGGTTGAAAAGTAATAGTTACTTGTAACTAATTGTAAGTTACAGTTAGCTCCAAGTTATTTTTTTTTAGTAACTTTAACTTAAATTTCGTTCCTTTTTTTCTAAGATGAAACTGCAATTTAACTTAATTACATTTCATTTAATAACTACGAATAGTAACTAATTTTAATTACTTTTACAGTTACTTTAGACATTTTAAACTTATTTGTCAATTTAATGCGATCTGAATAGTTACGCTACTTGCGTAGAAAACAAAGATTGTATTAAAAAAAAAACCAGTAATTTAATTTTTGTTTATTCTTAATGTGCACTGATTCTTTGTTTCTCGTTAGCCCCAATTATCTGTAGAAACATCACGTTAAGAGTATTTACAATTTAATATTGCTCATTGTCAACGTTTAATTAGTTCTTTATCTCTAAATGTCTAATTATCGTCTACAATGAGAATAATAACCTGTAAGAAATTGGTCAATCGCAAACGAATGTGAGGAGATCGATCGATCATATTTGGTCAATTTCTTATAGTTTTCTGCTTACTACACAATATTACTCCCATTGTAGACGATCCATAAGAACGAATTATTTGTGCGAATATGCTAAGGTAGCAAAACGTATACGATCGATCTCTCCTCAGATCTCTCCAATCATAGGAAAGAACGTAAAGTTACTGTCTTATATTTTCTACTGTGATCGGTCAATTCAATTACTGCTTACATCTTCCTGCTTTACGTTTTTCTATGTATTTCTAGCTTGATACCTTCTATTTTTTAAATAAAATTGTATAGCATGTATAAAAACATAAATCAATCTTTTCCTTTGTTGGTATCTATACAGTGCGTGATTATATAATCGGCAAATTATAATTTTGCGTTTTTCAGTAATTCTTTAATTTATGAGACTATATAATTAAATAAAAATAAATTAACTTTTGCTCTTTTGTGTGTAACTAATGGTTTAGGATATAAGAAAAATTAATTATGCATACGATATCGTTTTTTTTATTTTACTCTTATTGAAGTTATTATGATAACGTGTAACGTGTAAAGCCACGAGTTTGCATTGAATGATTAAATCTACATTTTGAATAGTCTGCTGCAGTTTTATTGTCGTGCGCAGTAAACCTTAATTATCTTTCGGAGAAACACTTTACAGCCAAGATTACTAGATTACTGTAAATTCCTGAAGCGTGAAGATTCGGCTAATACGCATACATTACAAAGATTCTTGTATGGCGTTCGCATATAAGCGAACACATAAGCGGGTAATCAGATATAATGTGTTGCATTATAAAACGGTGCTTAGACTTTTAGAGCCTTTCATACTGCGATTATCGTTTCCTGATGTATTTCCGGTAATGAGAATCGGGTTATTGGGGCCTAATATCCGTCTGTTTCTCTTGCGATACAAAAGAGTTGCTTTCGGACAGACACCGCGTTTCGTTTATATAAAAAATGCACAAAGATATATATTTCTGAGAACGATAATTATCAATTATGTTAACGAGGCGTGCAACGTTATATAATAATGTGATTCCTATTTTCGCTGGTACGTATCGCACTGATATTCAATAGAATGGTTATTTTGCAACTGTTGGACGTTTTCTTCATTGAGATATGATTCTTTTAGATCTAAAAGTATAATTCAATAATCAGCGCGAAGAGAAAATTTCCAACAGTTGCAAAATAAATATTCTGCTGAACGTGATCAATGAGAAATTTGTACGACCGAGCACAACTGTTGCACAGTAATCGATCGGCGATCGTACATTGGCGATCATAAAAGTCCGATTTTCTTCGCTGAAGAGTCCGAATTTAGGTTGGTGTGTCTAACGGGGCAGCATAATTTTATTCTTCCTAATTGTCGATACGCACTTTCACCGGTTCTATACCAGGCGAAAGAGAACGCGGTCGTTATGTTAATGGCCAGTGATTACATTAGTTTCAAACGCACGCGCGCAAATTTGATGCATCTTTTAACGTGCAAATTCGATCTCCAGCAGGCATTGACGATTGGAACACACATTTTACCTCGTAAAGCGGATGTCTATGTGCGCGTCCTGTGTAATCGAAAGCGAGATGGGAAAGTGAATACCGAAACGGATGTGCGTCCTTATAGATAATTAGCTCATAATCGCATTATCCGGGAAATGCTAAGCTGTTACTTTTCTCCCTGCAAGTCGATCTAGAAAAAATCAGGTGATACATCTCGTTACACCCGTCTATATATATATTTCTACATAATTATTATGCCCGTTAAAGGGTAAGATTTTCAAATAAGGTATCATCAGTCGCAATACCAATAATGACAAAATAAATATCACCTTACAACATAGCAGCATATAATAATATAATATCTTAAATAAGTGATATGTAATAAATAAAAAAATATCAGTTGCTTAATTCTCGCCCTGAAAAAATGAATTGCAATTTTCACGAAACATTAGGATTTAACAATGTAACAAGACACAGAGATAATCTATATAAATCATAACTTCATTGAAGAAAATATTCCGTGGAATTAGCCTTAAAAATTTTAATGAATATTACGTTAATATTAAAATATGTTCACAATCACGCAAACACACAGAGAGAATATACTGAAATTATGATGAAAAATACTCGTACTATCGAATATTGAGATATAATATTTACGTAAATATTATATTTCAAGTTTAAAATTTAAAATCCACACACATATAGACATACTTATAATTATAATAGAGTTAAACAGTTTAAAGGTAAATATAATAATAATTCTCTAAAATTATTCATGGTTAAAATTATTAAATTATTATCTATATATTTAAACTACAGGCGCTATGTCCATTGCAATGTCTATTACAGAGAAAGAAAGTAGAAGTCCCCCCCCCCCCCCCAATATCTTCGTACAATTTGCATACGATATCGAAGATGCCGATGCCGGCTATACATGATACACGCTACTGTCACATCTCAACGCAGTGTACGATGCATGACGCGTCTGATTAGTCAAGCGGCAAAATGGCAGGAAAGTGCGAGAGAAAACGGGGCTTTTGTGTCAAAGTCTTTCTCGAGATATTTCTCCATTGAACAACAAACGTCGAAGATCAAGAGGAGGCATGATATTCAATTTTTAACACATCTTAGAAGATTTACAAGGTAAGAATTTATAATGAGATGATCGATTATACAGTGAGATGTACATTATAACATGTATAGATTTGGGAAAGAAATTTGAAAATGATAAGTGAAAGCAGCGCG